GCTCTTCCGATCTCCCCAAAACCCCAAAACCCCAAAACCCCGTTTTGAACTAATAAAATTGAATTTAAAACAGTCAAATTCATAATGAATGATAAGAACTTTGACCTTGACAATTATCTTAAGAATCACCTGGAGTATGATGAAGACGATAAGGATCACAAACTAGAAGCTTCCAAACTTGAGAATGAGATAGAGCATTACAGAGAACTTATGTCCATGCAAGGCTTTTCTAAAGTAGGAAATATTTTACCCGGATGAACACTTGACGACACGAGAGCGACGCTAAAAGCTCTTAAAGAGGTCTGTGCAAAGAGAAAGGAAGATATCGAATTCAAAGGTAGTATTAGGTCTACTATAAATGACCTCAACCACAAGATTCAAACCATGCATGAAGAGAATGAAAGACTTCTTAGTAGAAATGAGGCACTCACGAGTAGAAATAAGCAACTTACTAATCAATTGCAACAAGCCAATGATAATAGAAAGCAAGAATCTAGAGAATATGGAGACCAAGTAGAATCTCTTCGCAAAGCGAATTTAAAGCTTAGTCATCAAGTTACCCAACAGCAACATGACATTAAGAAAATAGAGCAGCAAAACAATAAGTTAAAGGATAGAATAAAACAGAAGATCTTTGATAAGGACATGAATGTCAAAAATACTATTGATATGACCAAACCAATCTATATGAACGGACCTTTAGTCTATGTCAACAAATCAGGAGAAAATGAGTTCACGTACCTCGTCACCAAAGCGAACCAAGAAGTGCAGAGCAGCTTAAAGACAGAGAACGAAGATCTCAGGGACTGAATCAAGATGCTTCAGGATGAACTGCTTGAGATTATTAAAGTAAAGACTGAAAACTACCAAAAGAGGTTTAACACTGAATTCAAACAGAACTTAGAGGAGGAGTTTGCGAGACATGACATTGAGCCTGTCAACAAAGACCTCGTCAACATGCCTTATGAGGAGAGTGGAAAGAAAATTATACTTCAGTTCCAAGAAAATATCAGGAAGTTAAGAGATTTCTTAGGAACAATGGACAGAGACATGGCGGCCAGATTTGCTGAAGAGGACAACTATGATGAAGATGACACCACACTCGGTCGTGAATTTGCTAACATTAGATCCGTATCACAACTAAAGCATTTACTAGCAAACTACAAAGACCTAGTGGAAGCCCAAGAAGTTGTGATCCAAGGAGACGTAGCCCTCAGATCAGGCCACCCTCTCCCAGACGAAATAGTAACCCCCGAGTCCAGGTTCAGAATAATCTCAGACAGAGAGATCGAAAGGATGAGAGAACGACTTGAAAAGCAGAAAGTGCTACTAGACAAAGAGCAAAATGAGATAGACGTGAAGAAGAGCATTATCGAACAGAAGTCTACTATTTATTAACAATAACAGTCAATCGGTTTTATAGACAAAGGGGTTTTGGGGTTTTGGGGTTTTGGGGTTTTGGGGTTTTGGGG